GACGTGGATTCTCCGCCAGCAGCGATGTTCTTGCAGTCAGAGTGCTCACTGAAAGTGGCGATCAAGGAAGCCTCCAGAAATGCTGCAGATTCGCCGTGCTCCACAATGGCGAGAAGCCGCATGGTTGCAAATAAGGCCTTGGGGATCTCGCGGAGGTATGCATGCTCAGCCTTTCGCCAGCGGTGGGCGGGGTCGCCTGTGATGCCAATCTTAAATTTAAGATGGGCTTGATGAAGAAGTTGAACACGACTCACAGCATGACCCAGCACTTTAGAAGCCAACTGATGCGATGCACAGAACTCGATCAAGATTGTAGGGTCCTGCAACACTGATCGCATGACGGGCTCAAGTCGAGGCATCCAGTGCAAAGAAGCCGGCACGAGCATTTTGTAATAGTTTGCACTGACAAGCTGCTGACGACGACCATCAATCATGACGAAAGGCCCTTGGCCATCCCCAGCAGCAACAGGATTGTCATCGTAACGGCTCGCCGCCGATTCAAAACGCCTGAAGCTCCTCTCAGTGCAAAATTCGGCACCCGCCGCCGCAAGATCCTTCAAGGAAAGTTGTGACGGGTCTCCCGAACAATCGTCCTCGTGCAACAGCCGTTCCAGCGAATCGACTTCCATATCACCAGAGTCACGATCACGATTGTTATTGTTCTCATTGGCAGAACCAGCACTGCAAGAAGCTGGCAAGCACAGTTCCATCAGCCACTCATGGTCAGAGTCCGAACCATCCCGACGAACTTCACTCGACCCTTGACTAGGACCCGACATAAGCCCAAAAGCTTCGGAGAGCAAGAAGCACTTGAATCCAATCGCCAAACCCCACAGCAACTAGGCCAGAGACCCCCAACTTCCAACAAGCTTCAGAAATGTATCCAATCGCCAAACCCCACAGCTAGACCTGAGACCCCCGAACCTCGCAAAGCTAGATATTAGAGCAATCAGCCCACGACTAGACCAGAAACCCTGAACCTCCCAAAGCTAGGTTAAAGCAAGGGCAAGAAACTGAAGGATGACAAGAACCTCCACAAGCGCGCCTTCCATCCGAGGATGTCGTGGAAAAAGTGGCGGGGAGCGGATTATAGGGCCAGGGGCCTGGTTAGTACTGCTACGCGGTACAAGTCTCTTCTTCGGCATCACTCCAAGGAACATCCTGAGCTGCTTGAGCACTTTGATTTTTTCAGGTGGCCCCAGTTCGTCGGCAAGCAGCTTGCGGTTAAGCGGGCCAATCCCATTCGATACCCGCCAGCCTGGGCCTGCAAGTCCTGTTTTGCTCCTTGCCGCACCAATGCTCTGGCAAAGAGGCATCTTAAGGAGAAGTGCTCCCGCGGGCCTCGACCGAGTCAGGTGAAGGCCCTTGTCAAGCTTCGCCTCCAGAATCTCGACAAGGACAAGGCCCGGCTGCTTGCGAGTAAGGTCAGTAGTGCTCAGAGGGATAAGGGTCTTGAGCTTTTTGAGATTGCCAAGGCCATTCTGAATTCTTGCTAAGCCCGGCTCGCCGTGTTTCTGAGGGCCATGTGCATCAATGCTGCCAGGAAAGGGGTGTCCTTCGGGCCCTCCCTGAGGCCTCTCCTTGACGCCTGGCAGGTTTCCCTGGTCTCTGTAAGTGAGGTCTGCCGATCTGCCTCCCGTCGCGAACTGTGGTGTAGAAGTGGGGTTGCTGTTGTTATGGCGGTTGTTGTGGTTGTGGTGGTGCTTGTGGCTGCTGGTTGCGCGCCGCTTCCCTGCTTTGGTGTGGAGGCTCCGGCTGCTGGCCCCGCAAAGGCCGGCTGTCCCTGAAGTCGGGTGCACGCTGCTGTGGCTGGTGCTGGTGTGGTTGTTGTGGTTGTGGTTGTCCTTCTGCAGTCCCCTCCTGCCTTGGCTGTGTGAACGCTGATTCGAGGGCCTCTTGGGCCAACGAGTGGAAACGACACGGCTGGCATGTCCAACTCAGCCTCCCCGAAAAAGGTGTTTGTAGGGTGGCCCTGCTCAGCAAGATCCCCTTCAAAGCCGTTAAGTTGTGTGAGGCTGATGGCTTGTCGCGGCACGCGGCTGCCTTTGTTGACTTGCAGGTTGCTGGCAGGACCATGTCGGTGCTGTGTGTTGCCGTCTACTTGCAGAGTGGGCTACTCAGGACGGCCGTCCCTTCTTTTTGGGGATTGGAATACCACCCAGGAGGAGGGCTTCCTTGCTGAAACTATCCAACGTGGTGCCTGTCGCGCCTGTGATGGGGCGGATTGTGGTGAACCGCTTCCTCCTACAGGCCCCAAACACAATGGCATCTCCCGGCGGCGTCGGATCGACTACGGCCTCACCTTGCACGACTTTGTGGCTACGGAGGTGTTGCATGTGCCCGAGGTCGAGGTCGGGTCTCTTTCGGACCATCGTGTCGTGGTGTACCAGTTTGATGGGGATGCACCAAGCACTTTGGTCACTCCTCAGAGGGGACGGGCTCCCATTGAGGATGCCTGTGATGCAGACTTCTCTTTCCCGGCGGAAGTGGAGAGGCACTTCCAGGACCTTCTGGACAAGGACCTGGACCACGCTTGGACCTTCATCTCGGATTATGCCGAGGACCTCCTCTACCAGCCGGCTGCGGAAGGCCAGGTGCCTAGGTCTGCGGACTGGGCCCCCCGGCCCCCTAGACGGCGCAAAGACACGGACCATGACTTGGATCAGTCGCCTGGGCTTCGTGCTTTACGACGGCTGCTGCGCAAGCTCCAGCTTTGTGTGCTTCGGGTGGGATCGCCCTCTGGCTGTGGCTTGCCAGGCTGCGTGCGCCCGGGCTCGCTCCTTCTTCCCTGATCTTCCACGGTTGCAGTGTGGCGAGGAGGAGGCGGTGAGGGTGGAGTCCCGTTGCCGAGGTGAACAAGGTTGAGCGTGGCCTCCACCTTCGACGTTGGCAAGAGCGCATGGACCAGGACCTTGTTGCCGTTCGCTCCTATGTCAAGCGTCGTGCCGATGAGCAGCTTGCTTGGGAAGAGGACCCCGAGGACCTCTCGACTGCGTCTGGTGGGTGGCACCCTGCCATTGCCGTGAAGGACCAAGCTGACGAATGGCTCCGCACATGGAAGGCCCCCTTTGCCGGTGACCTCGAGGCTATCGACACTGTTTTGAGCGACATTCCCCGCCTGCCTGCTCAGGAGCTTCAACTTGTTCTTGAGGCTGAGGATTTGAGGCGAGCGACTGCTGCGATGCGTGGAAAAGCTGGTGGAGCTGATGGCTGGCTCCCGTCGGAGCTTTTGAAGCTTCCGATGGCTTGGTTTCGCTGGGCCGCTTTGCTTTGGAATCGGATCCTGGACATCGGCAAGGTCCCAGCTCAGTGGCGCAAGGCCCGTGTTGCCTTGTTGTGGAAATCCCGCAGACGAACCCGGCCCATCACCTTCTTGTGCAGCCTAAATTTGGAGAGCTGGCACCAGGGTCATCCAGGCCCAACTTGGTCCCTGGATCGACACCTGGGCGGACCACACTGCTGCTGGAGGCCTTCCTGGAACCAGTGTCCAGGCGGCCCTCATGCAGATTCGCAAGGCTATGACCGATGGGGCTGTGGCTTTCATCCAGACCGATATCAAGAGCTATTTCGACAGCATCCACATGGAGGCTTTGCATCGGGCTTTGGCCCACATGCGCTTCCCTCAGCCCGTGCTTGCTGTGTTGACCGACTTTTACAGCGGGGCCGAGAGAGTCTTTTCCTTGTCGGGCTCCCTCAACTCTTCCTGGAGCGGTGTTTCTTCTGGGATTGCGCAGGGCTGTCCGCTCTCTCCGGTCATTGCGGCCCTGCTTTCGTACCTTTGGTCTAAGTATGTGATCGGCAACTCTTCGCGCTCCCTCGGTGCTTTGGCTTACATTGATGACCGCACGGTCTGGGCCAAGGCTGGTGCCTCGCTTGATTCTCTTCGGGACGCCATGGCCAGGTCCACTTCCTACGATCGTGCTTTTGGCCTGCGTCTTTCGATTGAGAAATGCTCCGTTGTGGCTCCGACTCTTGGTCCTGAGCACCGGGCTCTCGCTGCTGAGTTTGACTTCCAGGTGATGCCCGACCTCGAGATCCTTGGTGTCCGGGCTAAGTTTCAGGGCGAGTGGACGCTTCTGAAATACCATGCTCGAAAGGCCATCCTTCGTGCTAGGCTCTTGGGTTGGTGCACGAGGAATTCTACACACCAAAAGCTCCTGCTGGCTTCTCTGGTGGTCCCGCCCTTTGCGTGGGCCTCGGGCTTTGCGAGGTGTGACAGCGACGACCTGAGTGCCATCAAGGCCGAAATTGAGAATGTTTTCAATCAGGGCTTCACGGCTGGCTTTGCTAGGGTGTGCCTCTACGAGGCGCTTGGCTGGGACCTGCAACCGGACTTTGCGTGTGATCTCGGTGCTCTGCGCATTCTCTGGAAGGCCAGCATCCAGCAGCCTCGCTGGCGTGACACTGTCGCCTTGAGTGAAGCTCGCTTTCGCTGGAGGACCATGCTGCCTGAGCTCCCTGAAGTTCTTCGGAAGCTTAAATGGAAGGTGGACCTTGCTTCGACTGAGGTGAGCAGGACTGATCGGTCCGGACGGATTCGCACTATCCGACCGGGCATTGACGGTTTTCGAGTTGCTAAGCAGCACTTCCGGCAGCTTTACGTCGCCCGCACTGGCCGGGTCCAGCGCCGGCTCCACCGCGATGAAGAAGGCCTCGCTGTTGGACTAGACCTGCCAGCGCCTAGCCGGCATCAGGACTACCACTTTGATGGCCTCCACACCGCGCTCGACATGGGCCTTCGCAGAGTGACTCTCTCGGCCATGGGCGCGGGTGGCTCGTGTTGGCATTTCAATGCCGGGGGCAACTTCGATGCAAATCACGATCGGTGGCGCTGCCTGTGTGGCCTTCGGGCTCCTTCCAGGGCCCACCTTCTTTGGAACTGCGAGAAAACTGCTGCTCTTCGAGAGGGCCTGCAGTTGCCTGTTGACCGGTGCGAAGAAAGACTCCTTCTTCGTGGAATCCCCGAACAACCTCCGCCCCCGCCGGCCGTTGCCCCGCAGGAGTGCTTTGACGAACTCGCCGAGGCCTTGGAGACACAGCTCTCTGCTGACCCTGCGGTGCTCTTCGTTGCGACCGACGGCTCTGAGGACAAGAACGTGGGCACCTTTGCCGTTGCCGTGCACCCGGGTGACTTTGTGTGCGCTTTGGGCACGGCCGAAGAAGACCAGTCGCCTTTCAAGCAAGAGCTTCTTGGTTTCGACTTTGCGGCGAGGGCCGTAGTTCAAGCGGTGGCGCGCTCCTTGTGGGCTCGCCGTGTCGTCTTTGTTCTCGACTGCCAGTCGGCCCTCTCCCTGGTGCTGCAGACTGGCGCCAACTTCAGCTACTACTTGAAGCTTGTTGACTCCGTCCAGGCTTCTCTACGTGTACTCCGTGGTCGTGGAGTGGCTGTCTCTTGTGTGTGGGTCCCAAGTCACGGGAAGCGGCCAGGATGGCAAGCCCCTCCTGGTCTCTGTGGAGACTTTCTCCACAGGCTCACCGCTTCAGCTGACGAGGCCGCTGGAGAGTGCCGACTTCGAAGGTTCTCTGGCGGCGCCATGGAGGCTTGGTGGCAGCGCCGTGATGCTGCCAGGGCCTGGGAACTTCGTGCCATCCAGGCCTCTGCTGCTTCTGATGAGGCTCTCCACTGTGAGCTCCGTCGTCACGGCCTTCGCCCTCGTGAACGGGCTCCCGGAGATGGTGCAGCTGACCCGCCTCCTGGCAATGAGGCGGCCACTGAAAGCGACGCTGGCACTCCCCTGGCTGCTGGCGGCCAGTTCCTCTGAGTTTACGCAGCCTGACCTACTGAGCCTTGGAGGCCTTCTGGCTTCCTTTCTTTTTCTAGTTTTGTCATGCTCGGCTTCTGCCTGGCATCGTGTCTGTCTTAGTGTTAGGCTGGAGCTGTCTCAGCTTCGGTCCTCTTATATAGTTTTTGCTGCAGTGTAGGGCAGCAATCGTAGGATTTACAAGCATGCTAGTGTATGTCGTCATTACTGCGTACAGCTGTGCAGGCAGTGACATACCAGGCATCGCTTCCTGAGGTATGGCCTCGTGCTGTCTCTGTTTGTGCGACCTGCCGACCGTGCGGACCTTTTGGGCGCAGGGTCAAGACAAGCTTCGCAAAATCAAGCCTCAAATTCCCAAAGCTTCAAACTGTTCAAACCCTGAAAAATTAGAGCCTCGAAGTCGCTTTCCAGGCATCCCAGGCCCCGCCAAACACTGTACAGCCCGTCAAGATTATGTATCTGCAGCACGGCTTAAGTAATCTCAGGAGCACTCTTCCGTCCCAAAACGAGTAAGAGACAGTGGAATATGGTGACAGAGAGTCCAAGGTTTTGAATCGGGCACCAGAGAACCTGGTCACCAATTTGATGCGGTTGGTGTGTGGCCCGGTCCAGCAGCTTCAATGCAACACACCCCTGACCTTGGGAATGCAACAGCGCTGTGGTTGTTGAGCACTCTCTCTGCTTGTCCGTTTACATGCTGTTACATGCCAATTCAGCTCACGACAACACTGCTCCAGCAACTTGTGAACACATCCAGGTGGTCTCTTTGATTCTCATGGCGAAGCAGCACACCTTGCTGACTTTGGTAAGTGTGGTGCGCTGCTCGCAATCGGAACATATCGGAACTGTTGCCGCGCAAAGTGCTCAATACTGGGCTTCACTTCCTGAGGCACCGCTGCCTCTGGCATTTCTCCTCGTCAAGAAAACTGGCCAAGCTCCCGCCTCGGATGCATTTAAGTCTACAAAACATTGCATCAGCGCTCGCAGCTTCAATCCATGCTTGCAGAGGTTGTCGGCCGATATAGTGTCCTTCAGAACGACTCCCTGGCGCGCGTCAATGCTGTTGCATCTGAGGCGACGGGGCAAGACTGCCTGTCAAATGTTGCTCTGTATAGCTGTGTGAGCGAAGCCCCATACTGATGCAATGCTGTACACTTGTGCCTGCATCCGGTCGCAACGTCGATTCTGCGAGGTACGTTTTGGGGAACCGGTACGCACTCCAGCGTTTTGAAATTCATGAGCCTGTCCGTTCCCGCGTTCCGACTTCTAGATGCATGAGACAATGCAGGGTGGTGGTACAAGGACCCAGCAGGAAACCAGCACAAAGTACTTTGCAGTCTTCTCACGATGCACTCGCACATGACGCTTCCGTTGATGATTGTTGCAAACCCCTCGTGTCTCACATGTGCAACTGCTCGTCATCCCGCTGTACCTCCGCAATGCTGGCACTCGACCAGCACAACTTCTTCAACGAGCGATCAATGCGAGCGCCGCACGCATGCGCCCCCCACGGGCCTTTGAGCTTCCGTGGCCAATCTCATCTTCTCCCCGTCCTCGTTGAATCGGGAGTTTTCCGGATGACGGACGAGTGCGGTACACCACCCTTCGTCCATTGCAGGAGTCGCTCAAGGGTTAAAGGCTTGGGGTTATGCTAGCCGCTAGCCGCTGACCATACGAGGGTTACGAAAGACCCTGAAAGACTGGTCGCACCGCTGCACTGAGAATTGACGGCGGCCGCACATATCGGTCAAGAAGCCTTCACTGCAGCTTGACATAGCTTGACTCACATCTGCGACAAGATTCGACTCATGGTTGAGTGTGCCAGCTCCGGCGCTGGACTTGCCTTGGGTCAGAGTTTAGCTTCACTGGCAAAGAGCGCTTCAGCTGCGGAATCTTGGAGCCGTGCGGCAAGAGGCAAAGTCGCTGTGTAACGAACTACTGCAATGGGACGGAAGCAAGAGGCAACAAATGGTTCAGAATGATGAGTCAAACTTAAACTTGTGGCAGAAGAACTTGAAGCATCGAGCAGATGCAACTTTGGCTGCACCCTGACAAGGCTTGTTTCTGTTGTGCCGTGCGATGTCGCTCAGAGTTTCGGAGGCGATTGCCAATGTGAGAGCCGTGCAGATAGCTGGGGCAGAGCAGACCGAAGTCAAGGACAGCAGAGCAAGAGCCGGTGTACCTTTGCGTACAGTAACCATGCACTCTGCTTGGGAGCTGCAGCATGCACTTGAAATTGACGAGGAATATTGCAAAGCTACGAACCACTATTTAAAAGTGCGTCCGACTTGTTTTGCACTCTGTGGTGTGGACGTGGATTGCACACCATGACACCGCAAAGATGTGCTGCCAGGTCATTGAGCAGACGCTCTTTAAGGAGACTGTGTGCAAGACTGCTACGTCAACTTTGCAGCTATAGATTTGGTTGATAGGACGCTCCACCCGACAGGAGACGGCTCTGCGTTTTGTCTCGACCCTCCTGAGCCTGGGCTCAAGTGGGTTGAGATGAGCCCCTCAGTTCGTTCCAGAATGGGCCTTGAGGAACGACGCTCTATCAGACGTGCCTTTGCTGTGCACCTCGGTGCACCAGAGGGCGATGAGCAAGTCAGACACGAAGTGAGAGTTGTAATTGACCAGCCCCAGAAGCAGTTTGCCACTGTCTAGGCCTCTCCTGTTGGTTCATTGCCTGTGGGCAGCTGACCATGGGCCAGTTCTACACATACAGGACCGGCCACTGTCAGGCCAAAGTGCACAATGCCGAAAGGGAGCCTTCCCCGGGGCCGTCTTCCAGAGAGGTCATGCGGCAGTCTAGTCCGGCCTGCAACACACGCATACACAGCCCATCCGAATACAACTCCGAATGGGATTCGCAAGCGTGCTGGGATGCCAATCCCAATGCGCGCACCCTCTTCCAAGCCTGGACTGTCTTGAGACCGGTCCGGTGCACAGCAGCTCACAACCTAGCAGCTGTGGAATTTGACTCCATCTCACCATGAACGACAACAAGTAAGGCAGGCTGTCCCTGGCAGTGAAAGCAAAGCTTCGGACAATCAAGACGGGGGATGCTCTGTATTTCTCATCAGTAGCTGTAACCCGCGAATGTTCCCAATTCGATCCGCCTTCCAGATTTCCTCAAGACTGCGTTGACCGTGAGCACTGAAGGACACGGGCCTCTGCAGCAAGGGGCTGAAGCCTTCCAACGGACTGCTGGCAAAGTCTTAGGCATCGACAATGCTGCAACCCGAGACTGATCGACGAGCATCTATTTGAGCAGCCAACACACCGCTTCACAGAGCGATCCCGGTTTCTATTTTGTGATGCAGTAATTCCAAGCTACTTCCGAGCAAGGCCAGATCGTTTGGGACGGTTCTGCTTCAAACATGTCCCCACCAGGTTAAGGGCCATGGTTCGAAAACCGCTCGAGCAGGGCACACATCTGTTGAGCCACCCTGCGTCCAGCATCAGCTGTTAAGAGTAGCAGTGTGATGATTTCTGCAGCGACCGCAGCTGGGCCTTGCTCTGATGTATTTGCATGTGCAGATCATCCTACCGACCTTTGACGTCCATCAACCACTGTGGTTTGCCCTCCTGAGCTTGCCAGTCTACCTGGAGTTGTCCAAGCTGTGTCCTTTCTGTGCGAACAACAAAAGAACCCGGACCTCGGTACTCGTTCGAGTCTTTCAGAATTTGAATACTCTGGCTTCCATTCGACTGAAACATGCTGGAACGTTGCTTTGTGCCGGTAGCCGGAACTTCTGAGAAGCCGTAGCCGGATGTCGCGGATGCCGTTGCGTGCGGCTGCTGTGCCATCGGATCCTGTTGGGACAGTATGGGCAGCACAAGCCCGGTCATAACACAGTTCCTTCTCGTCGGATCCCGACTTTTTGCACCAAGAGCACAAGTCGCGAGCACCGGGCACATCGAGGCATTCGTGCACAAAGCCATCTTCGCACTGCAGCAGGAAAATGCAGGAAAGGCAAGGTCGGACGGATTCGTACAGACTTGAGGACAATGGAATGCTGCGGATGGGGCCTGAGCCCGGACAAATTCACACACTGATTGCAGAACGTGCATGTGACTACATGTGACATTCAGGTTTAGCAAACCCTGCCGGCTCGCATGCACCAGCTAGTTGAACAGGACCCTGCTTTGGAGCTATCGGCGTGGTTTCCGCGAATTGGCAGAGCTCTTCACAGGTGTGTCACGTGCTCAGGCGGGCTCTTGCATTCAAAGATTCAAAGCTGAGCTAAGTCGTGGATAGTCGGCTCTCTCTCTCTCTCTCTCTCTCACTCTCTTTCCCCTCCCCCCTCTCTCTCTCTCTCTCTCTCTCTCTCGATCTCTCTCTCTCTCTCTCTCTCTCTCTCTCTCTCTCTCTCTCTCTCTCTCTCTCTCTCTCTCTCTCTCTCTCTCTCTCTCTCTCTCTCCCCTTTTGCAGTGTCATTACGTTGCACTTTTGCACCCTCGTGGCAAGGCTGTGTCACGAAGGTATTTCGATCTCACAGATCGACAACCTACTGTGCCGGTTGCCTACTCCGGCCTACACTGCCAGCACTGATGATCATCGTTTTTCGGTCATGGCAGGTCCTCGAAGCCAGCTGCAATGCGCTTGCCGCAAGAATCTGTCACCGGAAGGCTGTCCCTTCAAGGAGTATCCTTCCAGTACCCCGGCCAGGACAGCATGAGCATTGGTTTGATTTCCATCTTTTCCAACTGCTGTCTCGTCTGCATGTGAGGACAAATGGGCCGTGCAGAACGTTACGTTCGATGTAAACCCAGGGGAGATTGTGGCTTTGGTCGGCGTGGAAGTCTTAGCTTGGACCGCAGTCGATTTTGCAAATTGACAATGATCGCCACCCCTTGGTCAAGGCAAGCGGTGCAGGAAAATCTTCCATACTCCGACTTTGCGCCCGTCTCGCTGATCCTCAGGAGCAATTCCACTTCTTGCCGGAACCTCCAGAATGTGTCGGATTCCTGTGAGGAGGGTTCCGTGCGTCTCGATGGCCACGATTTGCGCGATCTAGATCTACAGGAGACATGTGGGGAACCTTCAAATCCGGACAGCTGTCAAAATGTCACGACTCGTTCGGGTCATGGATTAGTGGACGATCGGTGCGCTTGCCTCAAGCCTGGACGTCCAAGATGAGAAGCCTGAATACTCGAGAACAGCACATGATACCTCAAGCTTGCCCGAATCCTCCATCCCTTCCGCAAGAGTACCTGACACAAAGCCTGCACGGGGGAGACCCAGCCTGTTGCTACAGGTTGCAAGTCTTGACTGCAGAATGAATCATGGTTGCAACGCAGGGCATCAATTTGACGGATGCGGTTCGCAAAGGTCGTCACAAGCGAAGCCCTGTAAGCTCAAGTAAAATCACCAGTCGGTCTAGTCCACATCTCGCACGACGTGCACATTGCATGAGGACACATCATTCGCCTGGCATCATGCCATTCTTATGCACGTCCGACCTGACGTCGGGCATGGATTGTTATGAAGCTTCTGCTACTTGTATATCACTTGAAATCCTGGCAGCTTGAGCTTGCGAACGCGGGGACTCCAGGATTTTCGCCGCTGCATTGGAGTTGTGGATCAGGCCTCTGCAGCAGCTTTCACATCAGAGTACATAATCCAAGAGGACGGAGAGCTTTCTGCTGCAGGATCCAGCTCTGTTCGACCGCACCGTGTGGGAAAACGTAGGATATGGTCGCATGCTAAGCCTTGGTCAAGCAGCGCTTAGTCGTGCATGGGAGACCACGAAAAATGCCCCCCAAAGGCTGCAACATCGACATGGAAGACAGCAGTAAGCAGGCCAGGCATCTTCCGGAGTTGAGAGCATCACCAAATGCCACAAGCGCCTCCTTTCAGGAGCAGCTTGCCGAAGCTGTGAATGCAGCGCAGGCCACGAAGTTCGTGGAGGCAGAGCACCACGCGGCGACGCGGTGTATCGTCGGTGTACACCTGCGGCGACCTTTGAGGCCCTACCAGCTGAACCTTTAGGGGAGCGTGGTTCGCGACTTTCCGGCGGCCAGCGACAAAGGCACGGGAGCTTCACATCAGCACTACTTCACCACACATATCCGCGTTTTTTCGGTCTCTGGCGATTCCTGTGTTACGGGCCTTGTGCACCCGGTAGTACTAAACATGCTCGAATGCTGACTACAACGGCATGTTTCGGCATCCACAATCAACCGAGCATTTGCAAAGACTCCTGATCGAAGGACATGTGTCTAGAGATGAAGCTTCAACCGCACATGTGAGACTGCTATTCCAGGTCTTCTAGGCTCCAGACGTCTCTTTCCTGCTCAAAGTCTTCTTAGTCCGCCTAGATCCGCATGGAAAAGCTGTGTCAAGGCTCGCAATCGCGAGAGCCATTGCCAGAGGCCATGCGGCCAGGCTTTGTTTGTTACGTTTCCATGTCTGAGGGCAACAGCACCTTCGAAGGTGCGCCGGTGCTTCTGATGGACGAGCCAACCTCGGCCTTAGATGGCGAGACAGAGGACTCGATGTGCCAGAGCTTTCAAAACCTTCGGAGCATCCTGCAAGTCGCTTCAGCAGAGGAGGCGGTTGCTTCCACTTTGTCGCGCTTGGCTTCCAGAGGTCGTGCGGTTTTAGCCCCCAGCTCAGAGCTTGCCATGTGGCACACAGAGAAGAGAGTGCAGCATGATATTGAAAATCCCAGGTGGCAGCACACCGATTACGAACAGTTGCAAGAGCACATCGTATCGTGGTGTTGGAAGACGGACGTGTGGTGGAGGATGCCGCTTTTTCCAAAGATGAAGTGTGGCTGCTGGTCAACAGCCTGTCGAGCCAGGAGGGTCGTCGGGAGCAGCTACTGGCACAGCCCAACTCAAGGCCGCTGGGTTTCATTTTGCACTTGCTTTCGCTTTCTGCCGCACAGACAGTGCACGGCACGGACAGGTACCGAGCCACTGTCGAGCCTTCCATGGAGGTTGATTGAACAGCTCATGGTGTGCATTCTTCGAGCTTGTGATAATTCATGTGAAATGTTGCTTCTCGACAAAGAAACCTCACCCGAACAAGCTGCACGGACCAATTAAGCGCGCCTTCAATGTCGCGCTGGGAATCGCGGATAAATTGCCTGGAGAGTGCCGGAAGAAGGATTGTTCCAGCAGAACTGCTTCGTCCAAACTGGAAGCTTCGAGGGTGATGTGACGCATTTCCTCTTAACACCTCACCTGCCCGGATCCATTCTCTGTTGTAGGCTCGTTGTCCCGTGTCGCGTCCAATCATAAGCATCTCGTTGCGCCAGGGACTCGTCATCCTGCGGCTCGTGGTCCGATGGTGGGGATTCGAATGTTCGTGGTTTGTTTATTCCGGAAGCATCGCAACGGCAAGTCCTACCGCAGCCGTTCGACTTAAGCTGCCCGTCCGTGCCATCTCTGCCGGTACGGTTCAGCTAGTTAAAGTTTAGGCTGTCACGGCTTGATGCCGAGGAGTTCCTCCTCAGACTGCACTCCCCGGCCCCGCCGTCGTCGGCTTCGACGTCGCCGGGAGGCCGGTTTCCGGTATTGCCTTAGAGTCCGGTTGGGTGTCACCGCGTGGCAGCCCTCTCCGACTTCATCGAGCAGCCGCCGGTCGCCCTCCTCCGCTTCGAGGTTGGTTGGCCCAGCACTCTGGTTACTGTTATCTGCCACTGTGCTTCAGGCGTTCGCCCTCCGTTCCGGTGCCCGTGTCTGGCGCTCGGTCCTCCGGTGAGCCCCCTTTTTCAATTTCTTTTTCTGAGGCCGCAGTCCGGTCCGTCCACCTTCGGTGCGACGACCCCTACTGCTACCGCCGCGGAGGCCCGGACTGCCCGCTATGTCCGTTCGCCTCTGATCTGCTTGATCATGCTTGAGCTCCGGTTGCGCGCATGCAGCAGCATTCCCGCTCTCAAGCTTTCTGCCTCCCTATCCTTCCCGTTCTTTGCTTCCAGCATGAACCGCTTTGGAGGATCTCACCCGCTTCGCGATCTGGCCCGTGGCTTGCGGTACGCTCAGGCTGGCTTGGGAGCCGGCCCAACTACGCCGTCCTTTGGACCTGGCCCGGCTGCTGCCCCGGCCGACAATGCTGGCGATGGGCAGCCGGCCGCCGCCAATGATCCGGTTCCGGTGCCTGCCGCCGCTCCTGTGGACCCCCCCGGCGGGTATTTGGCCACTTCCAAAGCCGCCTCCGGAGCCCGCTCTGGTGCTGCTGCTCCTGCTGGTGATGGCGCTGCCCCGGCCGCTCCCACCCAGCCTGCCGCTCCGGTGATCCAAACCAAAGCGGTTCCCAAGCATCCGCCCACAACCGGTGGCCTGCCTACCAACCCCCCGCCAGCTGCTGCGACTCCACCGGCATCGGCTGACACGCGCCCGGCGGATTCTGGTCAGCAAGCTTCCGGATCCGGTCAGCCAGCGTCCGGCTCGGAGCAGCGCCCGGCCGAGTGGATGGCTCCGCCGCATGATCCGGATCGAGAGCGCGCCCTTCGCCAAGTCATGCTGGAGTTCCTTTCCGAAGCAGATGATGACTTGGTCTACGCCGGTCTGGCCGACCTTCCGCTGAGCCAGGCTGCCCGGTTGATGGTGCTTCTCTCCGAGGTGTGCCAAGACAACTTCTATGCCCTGGCCAACCTGGGGCAGTATGACGTCGAGGCGCCGATCTCCGTGCTGGCCGAGCAGTCTACCCGGCCCCCCGCCGTTCCGGGGCAGTACCGTCCGGTTGGCGCACGCTCCATGCCGGAGGGCCCCCGCTTACCGGACCGTGATGGTGCCGCGGCTATTGAGGAGAACCTGGCCCGCCCCCAGCCCAGCTTCCCGCCAGCCCGCGTTGCCCGGACCGACACTCGGGCAATCCCTCTGGATGTGCCCCTGGTGCACTGTGACCGGAACCGGCCCTCGGTGACACCCCAGTTCGATCCGAATGCCCCGCTGACCCCGAGACGTATCAACACCGGTCCGTGGAATAAGTCAGAGGGCTGGATGCGCCTGTCCATCTGCCTTCCGGACTCTCCCGGCCCGTTTGTCCGCGATCCGGAAACATGGCCTTACGCGGACCTCTTTTGCTTTGAGCTGGAGGACTTGCCACCATGGGTACCGATCCAGCAGCCCCCGTCCGGCCTGACGCACCTCCGGATCCGTGGCTATTGTAGCCATGATTGCCCGGCGAGAGGCCCACGCTGCATGCGCTGTTGCCTCCGGCCGATATTGTATTACAGCCGGACGGCTCACACCGGCCACAAATGCCATAATTGTATGGAGGATGGCCTCTGACCCGCCCCGGTGGTATCAGCATTTATGGTCTTTTCTTGCCCGGGATTCTGAAGCATAAATCATTATTTCGACCCGGCTTTTATCTTACTACCTCCCGCGTTCCGGTGGCCATCCTCCCTGTGTCTCACCGGTCATCCGAATCCGACCGGTGGGTTCTGGATGTGGCTGCCCCGGCGGAACTGCAAAAGCCCTCTGCTCGCTTACATGTTGCATGTTCCTGCTCTGACGGTTTACTCTTGCATGCTGCCCTGATTCAGGTTCCGCTCCCCTCCGAGGCCTGTGCTGTCAGTCTTCTGGTTTGCCTTTCACTCTGCCCTTGTCAGGTAACACCGAAATCCTCGTGGCCGCGACCCGGCGTGCTTCCACAGGTTGCTCCTCTGAGTCTGCTCCTGTCAGGCGCGTCATCATTTGCACCTGTGTTGCCTGCGGCACCGTGCTGTGAGCCTCCGGCTCCGGTCCCGTGTCCAGGGCAATGCTTGCATCTGCCTTCGGATGAGGCCCAGCCGTGCACCCCTGTTGCGGCCCGCCCTCCGTTGAGCCCCCTTGGTTCCCCTGGTTCGGACCTTTTTGCATCGGACGGGACTGAGGCCGGGTTCCAGCTGGTCGCGGGCTTTTCATCCAACTCTCCTGCATCTGCCTCTGGTGTGTCTGACCTGGCCCTTCCTCGTCCCGCCCTTGGCTTGCCCTCCTGACAGCCTGCGTCTGCCTGGCTGGTGCCCGCGCCCTAGGCCGGTGCCCAAGCCCTGCTCGCCTCCTTCGGCCGCGCCTGGACTTCTTCTCTGCCCTCGGGTCCCTGTCCGCCGCGCTCCTGTGTTCCCTTGTGGGCCGTCCGTCTTCTCTCCACCTGTACCCCGTCTTATGCCGTTGGGGCGTCGTGTGTCTTCTGGGTCCGGCTCCAAATCGCCTTTGTTGCCCGACGCTGGCGATGACACCCCGGCCGGCAATTATATCCTCGGGCCTCTTCCCCTTGCCTCGGCCTCGGACTCTGGGTCCTCTATGGCCGCCGCTGCCGAGGCCGCCCTTTTGACTTTGAGGGCTGCCTTTTGCGATGCCGTGCAGGACCTTGGTGATGACTGCACGCTTTGGCTCCACACGAAACTGGTGCCGTCCCCCCGTGAGCTCCAAACCCGGGCGGTCGCGAAGTTTGCCCCATCTACCCTCACGATTTATCTGCGTCTCTGGAGTGCCTGGGTTCTGCACTGTCGCCGCTTCGGTTTCAGCTGTTCCGACCCGGCTCCTGGGGCCGTTCCTGATTGGCTTCACCGGAACGCCGCCCCCTCCGGACTGGCAACTTCGGCTTTCAAGTCACTTAGCTGGATGTCGCGCATTGCTGGGTTGCCTTCCTTGGCGGCGCAACTGCAAACTCCGTTGTGCACTGCGTTCCTCACCGCTACCATCCCCATTGAACGACGAGAATCCCTACCGTTCTCCGTCTCTTTTGTTGCCTGGCTGGAACGTCGAGTTATGTGTCCGGACACACCGGCCCGGGATGCCCTGGTGATGGGATCCGTGCTATGCTTGATCTGGTCCAGCTTGCGCTGGAACGACGGGCTGTGGTCTCCGCCCGACCGCTTGGTGCTTCAGTACGACTCTTCTGCCGTGACTGGCCTGGCCACTCGCACGAAAAGTTGCCGTGCCTCCATGCCGTGGGGTTGTTAACTGTTCGGCCTCACCGGGGGCCCTTCTGCCTGCTGGGGCCTGTCGTGGCTTAATCTGGTAAACCGTGCCCTGGCGGACACCCGACTCCGTTTCCCCGGCCGGTCTGTGGATTTTCTGCTGCCGTTGCTTGCTCCGGATACCGAATCCTTGGTCATGGTTTCTCCATTGCACCGGTCGCGGGCCATGCCCTGGCTCCGGGCATTGTTGGACGAACATTGGCGAGAACACAGTTCCGCTCCGCCCCCTCCGGAACATGCCCGCTTTGGGGTGCACTCGTGCAAAGCCACCGTCCTCAGCTGGGCCCGGCAGTGTCACTTGAGTCCGGAGCTTCGCCGCCTGCAGGGCCATCACCGGCCGTCCGCTATGGAAGGATCCGTCCGCGTCTATAGCAGGGACGATGTTGGCCCCATGTTATTGTTGCAATCCGAAGTTATCAACCGCATCCGGTCGGGATTCCGCCCTTTGCAACCGGTTGCTCGTGGTGCGTCCCGCCCTCTTCCTGACTTCCGGGTCTCCTTGCCGCCTCCGGACCGCCACATGGCAGGCGAGGCCCCTAAAGATGTTCCCCCTCGTTCTCGTTCTCCGGTTCCTCACGCCAGGCCCAGTGCCACAGCTCCTGTCGATGATGTTCCGGAACTCTCGGCTGACAGTTCCGACTCTGATGTGTCAACCGCGTCCGCCAGTGACGTTGATACCTCAATCCCTGCAAAATCGAAGCTGGCCGTCCGGCCCAAGCGCCCGGCGGCCCACACATCTGATGACCTTCGGGCCTTCCTGGTAAACCTGCGCAGCAACATTGTTCACAAAGCGGTGTTCGGTCTGCACTCCGCATGCTGTGAATATTGCGCTTGATGGACTTGAGCCCTTTTGTGCGCGCCCGGCATGTGGTGCCTCTACTGCCCACATGTCTGCCGACTGCTGGTTTACGACCCCTCCTGTGGGTGCTCAGCCGTGCCTCCGCCGAGCATGCCGGGACGACTAGACGCTCGCGCTGTGCATGAAAACTGCTTGCCGCTCTGCATGCCGCGCATGCTTTTTGAGAGTGCCTTGCCTTGTGGGTCCTGCTTGTTTACATCCGCAGCCATTTTGCCTTCAGGTAGAGGTTCTTCTAATCTGGGTTCCGGCCACCAGAAGCATGGCTGCCGACTACCCCGCCTCGAGTTATTCGGCCTCTTCCCAGCAAGCGCCTGCTCCGGACGTCTGGCACACCTTCAGGGCGGCCCGTGGCCATGACGGCGCAGTCCTCCTGCCTTCCGTCCCGGAATTGGTGGACCTGGAAGATCTTAGCGATGAGGACCTGCTGGCCATGCTCCGCCGGTGCTCGGCTGGCTTCTTGGCACGCCTGGCCCGCCTCATCGGCAGGATCCTCCGCCCGGTGCCGCAAGTGGTGACCTGCCACCTCCCTTGCGTGAATCCGGAATGTAATCAGGTGTGTGGCCGGGTCATCGACGTCACTCGCCGCCGCCAGCATCGGAACCATGCCTGTGGGGTTTGCCACAGTTTTGGATGGTGAACCCGTTTTCTTGGCCAACGCGACTAGCCCGGCCGGTGAATTTTGTCTGCCACCTGCCGCAATGATCTTGCATCCGGCACCGAGCAGGGCGCAAAACTCTGTGTGGTTACGCCTTGTTTCCGCCGCTTCTGCAAGTTGCTGTCATGTAGCGTCTTGCTCCGCAGTTGGCTCATTAGCATCAGGTAGGCTGTGCTGTAGGCTGTCACTGGACTTTGGACTTCCCCGGCCTTGGTCCCCATGACCTCTGCCCCCTCTTCCTTCGACGACCCCGCTGCGCTTGTCGCTCTGCTCAAGCAGTGGCACGCTCCTGATGAGCTGCTGGAAGCGCTGACACTTAAAGGTTTCAAGTCCCTGGCCAGCATCGCGTATGCCATCCCGCAGGATGGGTCCCCCGATGACTTTGTCCGGAAACTCTGGCCGCCGGCGGCTGGATCTTCCGAAGCCATTGTCTCTCCTGCTGCTGCTTTTGCACGTCGCCTGGTCGTACAAACCCAAGCGGTTGCTCACCCTCCTGCACCCCCGGCACCCATCCCTGGAACCAGCCTTCCTTCGGCTCCTGCGGCCAAAATCTCTGCCGCCGCAGCTGAGACCATGCGAGAAAAGTTCATCACCGATTACCCGGGGGAACTCTTGTCCCCGGCTAATACTCCCAGCGTCGAATTTCTGAACCGTCTCCGGTCCGAACTTGATGCCCCAACGTCGCTCTGGATTCCGTGGCGCTTGAGGACATCTGAGTCGGATCTGCAGCATTTCTACGAATCCCGCCGGCCCCGTTCGGATGCACAGTTGTTGCGGGGCTTGCTTGAGGGTGTCCCGGACCCTGTGGTGGCCCAATCCTCCGCTCCCACCTCCGGCCCGGTCGAACCTACGTTACGCCGCCATCTGGGATTGTTGGTTACAGCTTTTGCCTTCCTGGGTGACCTTCACCTCCGTGCCGGGAAAATGCTTCTTGAAGCATTTGTGGCCGCTGCCGTGGAGCAGCCTATCGACACTACCCTCCGCCCTCCCTCTATGCAGGAGGTCATTGCTGCCGAACGCACCGTGTGGTCGAACGTTGCCACCCTGATGCGCGATGAGAAGTGGAGCCTCCCGGACTCGGTCACCGAGATTACTGTCACGCGGCATATGCTCCCGAACATTCTCGTGGCCCGGCCGCGCAGCATCCCGGCCCCTCCGGTTAGGGAACCTGGACTCCGGAACCTTGACCGCACCCGTCCGGAGGATGCTCCGGAACGCCCGCCCAAGAAACCCCGTCCCACACCTAAGGGTAAGGCTAAAGCCGAAGCGAAGGCCACCGGGAAGAAGCCCATTTCCGAACTATGGGACGATTCTTGGCACTCCGTGGATGAGTCCGGAAAAGAGATATGCCGCCGGTTTGTTGTTGGTCGGTGCAAGTTGTCCAACTGCCGCTTCAGCCACACGTGCCCTATTCCGCTTCCGTCCGGAAAGCCCTGTGGGCAAAAGCATACGGCCAACAAGCACAACAAAACCCCGCATTGACTACCTACTGGCTCCGTGCCCGGCGCTCTGAACGCGCCTGCTCCTGTGTGCATTCCATCGTCTTCCGATGAATCCGAGTGCGTTGTCTCTCCCACGCCGTGCGGCCCGTGCCCCCCGACATCATCTGTTACGCGGCCTGCCGCTCCACTGGTGGTTGGACCTCTGGCTCCCTCGGACACTCGAGCACGGTCCCGCTCTCCGCGCCGGACACGCCTTGGATTTTCCTTCTCTTTTGTACCACCTCGCGTCCCACTGGGACGCCGCATTGGCTGTACCGCTCCACCGACACAACACACAGTGTCGGGCCCGCCTCCTGCCCCGGAGACGTTGACACAGACCTTGCCGGAACCTGTGTCTCACCCTGCACCCTGCAAGCACCGTGTCTTTCTTGACTTGTTTTCCGGCTCCTCGGCGCCGCTCTCCCGGGCAGTCGCTGCTCTTGGTCTGGACCGCATTTCCCCCATCGATTGTCTCCACGGGGAGCATGTGGACTTGCTTGACCCCGACACTCAAACCTCCTTGCGCCGGCTCTGCTCCAGTGGTTTGATTGCTGTGGCTGCTGCGGCTCCTCCTTGTTCCAGCTTCAGCCGTTCCCGTCTCCGTCCAGGGGGCCCGCCGGCGGTGCGCACACCCGCACACCCTTCTGGTATTCCCCGGCCTTCCCCACGCCAACAAGCCGAGCTGGATGCCTCAGACCGGTTGCACACATTCACCCGGGAGTTGCTCACGCTCGTCATGTTGGCTGGAGGTATTGCCATCTTAGAGAACCCGGCCTCCAGCTTACTCTGGCTTGTCCCGGGCTGCCGATCCTGGATCCGCCACCACTGCATGCATTCGGTTGAAGTTGCCGCTTGCAGCCACGCCTTGGACTACCGCAAAAGCTGGCTTTTTGTGTCCAACCTTTCGGATTTGAGCTCTCTCGCGTCTGTGTGCCAACATCCTCCCGGCTCTCATGTGACTACTTCCGGACGCCGGACCGCCTCCGGTGCTTTCCTCACACGGGATACCGCCTGTTATCCCTCGTCACTGTGCTCTGCGCTTGCTGACCTTTTCAAGCCGTTGCTCTCGTCACACACCGGCGAGATTCCTTTTCGTTCCTGGCATTCGCTTCTTCCTGCCACACTTTTCTGGCCCATTCCGGCGAATCGTGTGGAAGATGGTGCCGGCACTTGTTCATCTGCCTCTTGGTCTGTTCCCAGCGGTGCTGATTGCTTCGGCTCCCTCCGGAAAGCCTGGTGTGCCCGCATTCTTTCAGGGGACTTCCTGTCCCAGTTCCAGGCCAAGTTGTCCTCCGGATCCAAGGCCCCTCCGCTGTCGGACCCAGAATTGGCCCCGTTCCTGGAGGACCTTCGATCCTTCCTTCGGCTGTCCGCCTCGGACTTTGACATGCTTTTGTCCATCCCGCCGGGACAACCTTTCCGCCTCTTTCTGTTGGAAGCGCTGTTGTCTGTCTTCAAGGATCCCGACACCTCCTTTGTGGACTTGCTCACTGAGGGTGTCCCCCTGGGCGTTGATTCCGAGATGCCTTCCTGTCCGACCCTATTTCCCCCGGCCGGACAGTCCGCTCCCAGTATGGACTTGACACATTGTTCCTCCTCTTGGGGCTCCGCTTTGTCGGATCAAGCATCCGTGGATAGCCTTCTCTCCGAAGAGATTTCAGAAGGGTGGGTGCGCGAAGTTCCCGGTGGACTGGACGAGCTTACAGCCCGTTACCAGCAGACTGCTGTTGGGAAGCTGGGCTTGGTCAAATCCCCCGGCCGGCCGGATCGACTGGTCGTCGATAGCAGTGTTTCCGGTGTGACCGAACACACCTCACTTCCCAACAAGTCCGCAAATCCGTCCATCTCCGGTCTTCGCCAGTGCCTTCCGCCGGAGCACGCCATAGAATGGCTCATCGCGTTGATTTTGGACGTCAGCAAAGCCCACCGCCGGATCAAAATCCGTGACTCCGACCGTGGCCTTTTGTGCTTCTTTCACCGGAACCGGCTGTACCAATGCTTAACGCTTAACTTTGGCGCACGCGCCTCTGGCTTCTACTGGTCCCGGATGGCCGGCTTGCTGACCCGTCCACTTCACCGCCTGGTCTTTGTCAAGCATTGCCTGCTGATATATGTTGACGATTTGATTGCTCTGCTATCCGGCCCGTCCGGCCCGGTGTGGGCAGCATTGATGTGCATCATGTTGCTCATTCTCCGTGTTCCGATGAGCTGGCACAAGGCCTACTTGGGACCCCGGCCGACGTGGATTGGCTGGTCTATCTGCCTCCACTCCCTTTCTGCCACCATGGAAGCTCCTAAGCTTGACCGGCTACGGGACCTCCTGGCCAAAATCCGGGGGTCAGATTCTGTCCCGCTGCATCTCCTCCGCAAGCTCACCGGCAAGCTACTGTGGGTCTGCTCCCTGTTTCGGCCTTTTCGCCCCAGTTTGGCTCCCCTGTACTCCGACCAGGGCAAGCCCCCTGTCGTCCATGTTGCTCTGAGTCCGGAGAAATGGGCTTCCTTCCGCTCCAAGCTTGACTCACACCTTGTTCTGCAGTCTGACGTGGGTCTCGCATCCTGTCCGAAGTTATGCACACTGATTTCGGTATCGGGCCGCGAGGTATCCTCACTTTCCCAGGTCCCGGTGTCCTTTCCTGGCGAACGCCGCACCTGGATTTCCGTGCGTATGCCACCTGAA